TATATATAGCAAAAAAATCAAGTGCACACTTAACATTTTATGACATACCTGTAGACACTGTTTTTGATAGAGTCGAAACATACCTACGTGGAGACACGCTAATTTAAGGATTGCCAAGGAGCAAAGGGTAGGAACTGCGGATGTAGCCGTTGTATTTCTGTGCGTGTATAACACGACTTGGAAACCTTTCTGAAGAGTAGCGTAAGCGGCGCGGCCAGCAGGGTTGATCGGCAAAGGCCGGCTGGCTAACAGGCAGTTGCTAAAGCTAAGATAGAGTGACGGTATGGGTTTACGAGCCATAGAATTCATAAAAGATTCACAAGAAGAAGAAGCGAGCGACTACCGAAAAAGCAGAAAGGTTACGAGGAATATAGCTATATACAACAACTATACGCTTAATTCGTGCAATCATGCATAGAAGCTATATACACTAAAAAAGTGCGAGGCTTTTCCAACAGAAAAAGAGCTCGTCTCGAATCGTTGCCAGTGGTTCTCGCCAATCCAGATGCAGTACCACAGGTTGACGCGTGAGCTTTCGGGCAAGCAGTTTTCGAGCACAGAGTCATAGCGCACTCAGGATGAGCGAACGCGCGTATGCATAATTGTGCACGTGAACCATGTGCATGGAGGGGTGTGTATAGCGGAAATGTTTGTGAAGAGGCATGCATCCAATGGAACCTACATTGAACAAAACTTTTTGCTTTTAGCTAGGAATAAGGGTTGTAGATGAAGATTTACAGGAGGTATTCATAGTTGAGTTTCCATTGCTTTTTCGACCGCGTTGTATGTGCCTGTTATTAAGCCGCTAGATTTATTAAAACGCAGATGAATTATAAAATGCATACAAAAAGGTGCGGATATTTTTCATACTGGTATCCGATAAGACAAGAAATTATATAAATATCCTAGCCAAGAACCACATTTCGTAATGCTAAAACTCCATCAAGGTTCCCTTCTGATTAAATTAAAAGTACAACACTAATTAATGTGGACCCTTTTACACCGTTCTATCTTTTGCCCTATGGCAGTCGGCAAGACTACAAACCTACAATCCTGATCTTTCCCTGTCGGTAAGTTTATATATAAAGAGAGACGACAGTAAAGAGTTTTGCCTCGTGTCCTGTTTGCCCATTTTGGACCCATTTTGCTCTACAGGCGTTCCAGAATAGACACAATGGCCCGGAACATCCGTCGCTTAAGTTGTGAATCTTGCACTGCTCAGATTGTGATCGCTTTTTCTATGACAATAATTTACTACAGACATCTTCTATTATAGTGCTGATTTTTGTTTTAACTGGCCACTAACCTTCGGAAACCTCAGTGGAACAAGCCATATACTGTTGATGATAAGGAAACAAGTAACGAATGTTTAACAGCATTGTGCCAATAAGTTATACCCAACCTGAAAGCTTTGGGTACAGTTCCTGTGTAGCAATGGAATAATTTCTTCTTCCTACTCTTCTATTTGAGTGTTCCTCTCACTCTATTTGATAAAATGCATTACCATGATTTATTATATTATATATATATTATACTTTACTATTATATATAAAAATAATGAAGAAAAATAGCGCGTCGTGAGAAATTTCAAGTTTCCGCAAAGTAGACGTACTTTCTATTTGCTTAGCTAAGCATGAGCTAAATAATATTTATATTATTATTTATTTAAAAGTATATTTATGTAATATTTGCAAAAAACATCAGCAGAGCCAAACAGTGTCACATGCGTACTTTGCGAAGATGGCGACCAAAATAAGGACAACGAACCAAATTGAGTATTTCTGCTGTTTTGGCAAATGCTACAGTGAAAGAATTAGCCTGGCCGGTGCGAGACTAAGAATACCGGTACGGCTGGGAAAGCGCCGATTGAGTCCATGGACAGATATCGGCGATAGTTTTAGTTTTATGGAAGGTCGGACGCCAGGGTAAGCGTACAGCCGCCATCGCCAGGAAAACGTAGAAGAGCTTGTCCGGGTTTACTCGTCACAACAGTTTTAAGCAGTTTTCCCCTGCTTTCTTCCCAAAGTAGTTCCCAGATGTCCACGCGCTTTACGTTCTCCTTTCACTATACGTCTCCTTCCTTTTTCAGAAGAAAATAATACAACCACAGTTTGTCTTCGTCCCCCCCCCCCTCACGAATGGCTGCTATTGCTCTTCTAGCTGAAGAAAGGCAAGAAGAACAAAGAGAAGCGGCGGATGGGCAATCGCAGAACTCCAAAGTCAGCCTTGAGCTTGACAAGGGTTTGGTCAGTCGGTCAGCCGGAAAGGGACACTGCGTACCAACGAGGGTTACCCTTGATCCAATATTTTCGTGTGAGTGATTTGCTGCTGGCTCAAAAGTTGCTCAGATCCTAATTTCTGCGGCCTTCCAGGACCCGGAGGTTATACGCCTACGCACTAGTAGGTAGTGACTTGTCTGTATCACTGTTGATTTAGTTGTTCGATAAGATTGACAGCAATAAGTAGTAAGCTAAAGACAGAAAAAAAGCATGTAATCAAACATTATGTATAAGTTAGCCAGTTTACCCATAATGTGGGTGGCAACATTTTCTCAGGGGACATCGATCTAGGAGACAAATGTCTGGCCAATGGCATACAACAACCTGGCCCATTAATGATTGACCTTTTATATGGAGACATATCCCCATGACGGAACAGCTGATCATGGTGGCTTTATAAAGTTGTTGGGAGTAACTCAGTAGTACTCGATGCGCTAAGTGACATCTGAAGCTTAATCGCTTGTGAATCAACAACAACGAAGAAGTGCTTCCAATTTCAAAGCGACTTAGAGTAAATTTCAAAAAATCTTTGGTTCATTTAATTTATCAAATACTTTTGGTATCACAAGCAAATAGTTCACACTCATATAGCGTTGATAAAACGACTAGTAATCATTTCGGCTTTGTTTACTTCGATTGGACTGTGAAAACGGCGGAAACCCAGTAAAAAGGCTAAAAAAATTCTGTTATACAGTATTGACTGATATCATGACCACTCGCCACTTAGATTGCCAAGTTGGTGCTTGGCTTGTCCACGTTTAAAAACTACCATAGGCATCTTCTTTTTGATAATTTCTATTTTGTTCACTAAACACCGAACCTGAAGGAACTCGAGACCTTCTTGAATCCTTACAAGGTAGATTATGGCCATATAAGCGAGTGTAATAGCTGATACGCTTTCTTTGTTTCCCTTAGGTTATTTACGCAATGCGCGACACGCGCGAGGTCCGAGTGTGCAATCTGCCATACAAAGTTTCGATTATACACTTGTCTTTTATATAAGAGTAACGCAGGTGAGGTAACGCAACTGAGGATCTGACTATACACTATAAGCTCTATTGAAAAGTTTTATTTGTTGTATACGTGATTGGTTCCGCAATAAGGTTCTTTAAGTAAAAGATTACAGGTGCGCGAATATAACTGGCTCTACATAACAGTATAATGCAAATAAAAAATAACTTGGTATCAGATGAATAACAGGACTAACTAATAAATATGAGTAAATAATTGAAGGGCTGTCATTTTTGAACCGACGGCCGCCCTTCCTTTCGTCGCGTAATTTTGGATTTAATACACGAATAAATGGCTCTTATTAGAAATTAACTTTTAGAGATATCTGCGTTGTTTATTAACGGTCCAAGTAAAAATTTCTGCGGTCAGTGTCCACATAAGATCGACAGGGGATGACATAGTCGCACCGAAGCTATGTTTTGACTGACGGCGAGTACTTTGTGAGTGCGGCCCATTCATCTGATGAACTTCCCAAGTCACTCAATCGATAGATAGATCGCTTCATGCGTGGCCAGTTATACGTGGCGCTTGTGGGCGCTCCATGAATTATACATGGCAGTCAAGTCCCTGACCAGTTACATCGGAATGAATGGT